TTATATGAGTGTGTGTGTGTGCGTTTATATGTGTGTGTGTGTGTGTGTGTGTGTGTGTTTATATGAGTGTGTGTGTGTGTGTGTTTATATGAGTGTGTGTGTGTGTGTGTTTATATGAGTGTGTGTGTGTGTGTGTTTATATGAGTGTGTGTGTGTGTGTGTTTATATGAGTGTGTGTGTTTATATGTGTGTGTGTGTGTGTGTGTGTGTGTGTTTATATGAGTGTGTGTGTGTGTGTGTTTATATGTGTGTGTGTCTGTGAGTGTGTGTGTTCAGTTTTATCTGTGACTGGCAGGTTTTCTGTGGCTTCTCTCTGTAAATCCGCTGTGTTTGTGAGCTACAGTCGCGTCCGTCACCTGTCAGCAGATCCACTGATCCACACGCTCAGGTTCAGCTGTGTGCTCCTGCTGTTAACTCTATAAGATCCGGGGTTTCTCGCAGCATTGGATTTAAACATGGACTACAAACATTCCACAGGGATTTCAGCCCATGTCGAGTAAATCACACGCTGCTATTTTGGACACATGCTGTTCCACTTCAGTCCAAAGTTGTGTGAGTGTATGTGTGTGTGTAAGTTTGCTGTCTGGTTGCTAGGGCATTACTATGCTGTTGCTAGGGTACTCTGGGTGGTTTCTAGGTCGCTACTACTGTATGTACCTGATGTCTTTGTCCAGCAGGTGAAAACAGTGTGTCTGATCACCGGAGTAGCAGCACACTCTCCATGATCTGAGGAATCATCACGTCTGAAGCACAAACGCTGCAGGGCGACACACACACACACACACACACACACACACACACACTAAACTAATAGTGCTAGAGCAACACTTGGACTAGTGAAGTTTGAGTTAAAACACGCTCACGTTTGTCTATAAATCAAATAAAGCCCAGAATGAACCGCAAACTCATCTCAGTGTCAGATGAGCTTCAGGTTGTGACTGACGGTTCAAAACACTCAATACACATCGACTTCTCTCTCGCACAGATTAAACATACATGTGGAGACTCATGTGTCATTCACAGGAGAATTTCCCCCTGCAACGCGATGAGACGTTATATAGCGGTTTATGGTGAGAGATTGAGTCAGAGGTTACAGGTTTTATTTATTTTTATTTAATTAATTATTTGACAGGGACACTGGACAGTCAGAAAACTGCCCTAGAATTAGCTACAGAGCTAAACTTCATCTGCTGTCCCTGGGTAGGTTCAAATCCTACTATAGGGAATCTATGACCAGAAATTATCTTCTGAAACTGCGGTTAAAGGTTCAGACGAAAATTAAAAGAAAAACAAAATATGATGAGAACATATCACAAACAGGTGTCTCAAAATCTCCTTGAACAAATTCATAGTTTTCAGTCACGTGACTGGTTTGAAGACCTGGCGGGGAAAACATCCATAGAACTGTAGCACAAGACTGTACATTTTCTATCTGTTCCAATCCAAAAATATTTAGATCACCTCTTAAAAGAATAAAACAAAGATATGTGAAACAAAATGCAAGTTTTGGCCATTTGCAATCCATATAAAAGCACCTGCTGTAATATTTCAATCACTAAAAACATCGGGACATTCTAAAATGTTTAATGTGAAAACACTTAAAGCGCCTTTAAAACGGTGATATTAAAAGATCAAATTAATACACGCCTTATTGATGATGCATGCTTTATGCAGGCAAGCAAATGAGCCTGGAATATGAACGCAATGCACTAAATGGTTAAGCATCTTCTTTATAATGGTTTTCTATGTGAAAACATTTAATATTAAACTTTGCGCATTGCGTTTATATTCTGGGTTCATCTGCTTGCCTGTACAAAGCATGCATCATCAATAAGGTGTATACTGAATTTGACCTTTAATATCAGTGTCTTACTACATTACTACTTAATGCAAGCCTCGTAAAAATAACTGGCGGTCAGTGGAGGAAAGCCTTGTTTTGCCCTCCATGTGGGCGTTCCTATAAGGGTGTGACGTCACGTGAAAACTATGAATAACCAATTCATAAAGACCTTTGCGCATTGCGTTTATATTCTGGGTTCATCTGCTTGCCTGTACAAAGCATGCATCATCAATAAGGTGTATACTGAATTTGACCTTTAATATCAGTGTCTTACTACATTACTACTTAATGCAAGCCTCGTAAAAATAACTGGCGGTCAGTGGAGGAAAGCCTTGTTTTGCCCTCCATGTGGGCGTTCCTATAAGGGTGTGACGTCACGTGACCAATTCATAAAGATATGTACATCACTGTACATACAAAATCAGCATGACCATCCTGCTGAACATCTATTGAAGACAGACAGACAGACAGACAGACATGTGGGAAATCACAGTGAATGATGACTGAAAATACAAACAAACGGACGGCCAGACAGACAGATGAAAGGACGGAGAGACAGACAGACAGACGGATGGACATACAGATGAAAGGACGGAGTGACAGACAGACAGACGGACGGAGAGACAGACAGATGAAAGGACGGAGAGACAGACAGACAGACAGATGAAAGGACGGAGAGACAGACAGACAGACAGATGAAAGGACGGATTGACAGACAGACAGACAGACAGACAGACAGATGAAAGGACGGAGCGAAGGACAGACAGGACAGAGAGAGACAGACAAATTGATAGACAGACAGACAGATGGAGGGACGGATGGACTTATGGACAGACAGAACAGAGAGAGACAGACAGACGGATGGACGGACGGACGGATGGACAGATGAAATGACGGAGAGACAGACAGACGGATGGATGGACTGACTTATGGACAGACAGGACAGAGAGAGACAGACAGACAGACGGACAGGACAGAGGAAAGGACGGAGAGAAAGACAGACAGACAGATGGACAGACAGATGAAAGGACGGATGGACGGACAGACAGACAGATGAAAGGACGGAGAGAAAGACAGACAGACAGACGGATGGAAGGACAGACAGATGAAAGGACGGAGAGACAGACAGACTGATGGACTTGTGGACAGACAGGACAAAGAGAGAGAGAGACAGACAGACAGACAGATGGACGGATGGACTTATGGACAGACAGGACAGAGAGAGACAGACAAATTGATAGACAGACAGACAGACAGACAGATGGACGGACGGATGGACTTATGGACAGACAGAACAGAGAGAGACAGACAGACGGATGGACGGACGGATGGATGGACAGATGAAAAGACAGATGGATGGACATATGGACAGACAGGATGGAGAGAGACAGACAGACAGACAGACAGACAGACAGACAGATGTAATGGATGTGGAGTGTGTAGACTGTGATCATCAGAACTGCACTGGACTAGGGCTGCACGATTAACCGAATGCGATTGTCATGCGCATCTTGTCAGTAAAACAGGTTCTGTGATTAGTAGTAAATCTCCAGCACCTGCTTTCAGATGGAGCAGCGTTTACTACACAGAGCAGTAGTTCACTGACAGGCTACGCAAAAAAATCCCAGACGATATAATTGTACAATTATGAAATCGTTCGCGATAATGACAGCTGTTTGCGTATCTTCTCAGTG